CGAAACAGTAGAACACATTCGGTGTCAATGTGATAGTCTTGCCAGACACAGACTTCGGTACTTATCAACTGCCTATCCACCTATAACGAAAATAGGCAATATCTCTCCAAGAGACATAATGGCATTATTAACTGCTACACATCCTTAAAGTATGCAGTGACGTGGTGATATAGTTCTCAACCCTTTCAAGAACTAAGAAGAAAATATAGTGAATATATATTTTATTGAATATTTTTTTGTTAAAGACCAAATAAAGTAAAAAGCTCTTTTACCTAATTTTCCTATCTGAAAGACTTAAAAAACAACTGTTCCAAGAATTTAATTATTTATTTTGTTGACCTCATTTTATTATAATTTATTAAATGTTTAAAAGTGTGTAAACTACAAAAAAAAATAGAAAAAAATAAAAAAGAATTTGGTCAAAACTTTTTATCATTAAAATTTTATTTCTTATCAAAAGGAAGCAGCGGCAGGAGCAGCAACGTACTTTGCTAATTTGATTGCTGGGAGCCACTGACTCGCATGTTTACTGGAAAAAGGATTCCTTCATTAAGGATTCTTGGCACTTTTGAATGCGAAAGGCATCTGAATGAAAGAAAAGCAACAGAAATCAATAAAAATGATTTGGTGGGACTCAAAACGCTGCGAAAATATGTCTTTTGCTGCATAAAGTTGCACTGAGAATCAGCGCTGCCTTGTGCTGTGCTCTCTGTATTGCAAATAAAATTATAAAATTTTAATTTTTCCACACAAAGTCAAAAAGTTCTGTGGTCGTAGGCATAACCAGCAAGTGTTGCAATCGAATTTACACTGTAATTCAGTAGATCCCAACCACAGCAACTGCACTGAGACCACCCGACAAAAGGATACCCACTCGCACGCATTCACACACACAAACAGTTAGTCTCTGTGGGGCCTCGAAGCATTTCTAATTAGGGCAATAAATCTTTAGAAGGCGATTTGAATTGAAAGTTGCACCCGCGAAAATAGTGTAGGAAGCGAAGCGGCAGCAGTCAAGCCAAAAAAAAACCAGGCTGAAAAGTATCTTGGCGCAAAGAATAAAAATCAAACATTTTCTTAAAAAAAAAAAACAAGAAAAAAAAATTAAGGAAGAAAGAAAATTATTTTAAATATGAAATATACAAAGTTGAAAAAAAAAATAAAATAAAATATTTCATATAAGAAGGCGCTTTGTGCTGTGCTGGCTTGCAAGATGGCAGCATATTGTGTGATACAATAAAGAAACGCTATGCACCAACCCCCCTTCCACCCTCCTCCAGCGAATATTTTCACCATGCAATTTTAATTTTTTTCTTTTTTTTCTGACTTTGTTGAAGCTAAAGTTTGGCTTTTTGGCTCCAATGCCAAATCGTTTTTTCGGGTCAGAGGCGATGGCAGCAAAATGATGGTCTGTGCCTATTGCATTTCTGGTTTTCTTGTAGTTTCCCTTCATTTTTTTCGTTTAAAATTTTTAAGCATTCTTGCTTTCATTTACGCTCTAGAAGCGGCTGGCGAACGAGGGAGGCATGAGAAGTTAGCATGCAGTCCATTTTCAAATTTATGCTGATAATTTAGAACAAGAAAATTTGTATATTTATTGTATTTATATGCAAACACGTATTAAAGTTTTTTTTTTTCGTTTTAGATGTAGAGTTTGAAAATGTTTATTGCTATTTATTTTCAACTGGCGATAAAAGAAAATTACTTAAAATTTTAACGGCATAATTATTTTACTATTATTAAATAGAAATATGGTGCAATAATTGCAGTTATTTAGTTCAGTAGTTAAATTATACGGCGATATACTGATAGATATTCTCTTGGAAAAGAGAGATTTATTACATTATTTAAACAGGAAGTAAACCACGAGGAAAGAGGGGAACGAAATAATTTCGAAAGTTCCGTTATCAAAACTAATGAACAAAAGAAAAAAATTAAATAACAAACTTCCACAACTCGAATTTCCGTAATTCAAATTTTCTATAACTCGAACTAAAACGAGTGCAACAGGATTTTAGAGGCAAATTACATACAATTCAGCTTCCATAACTCGAATAAAAATATTGCCCAGTGCAAATAGCAATATGGGAAAGTGCATTCTATAAGACGAATTTTTGTTTTAAGTATAAATGCATTTAGCTGTTAGGGGAAGTCCCTTTTTCCAAACCAAATATTTCACTTTTGCTTTCCTATGTTGCTCCTTTGTGCAAATGCCAGTTGCTGGTATCGCGGTTTAACGTAAATAAAATAACTTCCAATGTTACTCTTTATGATTATATTGAAGTTGTCAATGAAATTTGTACATCAAGCTTTTCTAGAAATGGCGAAGCTCCAAATTACTGGATCCAATTCTAAGCGCAACCGAAAGTGATGATGAGGGTTCGATGGAAGAAATTGTTCATTAGCCTTCTAAGAATGAAGTAGAAGACTCATTCAAAATTCTGAATTTTTATTTACAAACGAATGATACTTCAACTGATGATCTCTATAAGGCTTGGAATAAATTGGAATCTTTTTTTACTGAAAATAAGGAAAGAATTTAAAATCCAAACCCTAATTTCTGAACGTTTCACTTCACCATCCCTTCTGTGTTGTATTTGATTTCAAATAATTAAATATCTTAAAATGTAATTCTAGTTTCTTTCAAAAATAAAAAAAAATAACTCTAACTCCATAAGTCTCCATAAGTCGAACCTTTTCTTTCCAAAATGGTACTTCAAGTTATGGTAGTTTGATAAAAAAAATAAAATATAAGAAAATAATAAATAAATAAATTTAAAAAATAATAAAAGTCCTAAGCCCGGTAAATTAAAAAAAATAATTAATCATTAATTATATGTGAGGACCGCTATAGGCTCGTAAAGTTATCCCGGTATACGTGTATTAAGTTCATAAAAAATTTATAGTCAAATCGGATATAGGTAAGGTCAAAATTCGTTCCATTTGTAAAAGAAAGCCCAACTACACACTATCTCCAGCGAATATTTTTCGAAAGAATGCCCAACTAAAAACTATCTTAAGCGAATATTTTTCGGTAAACTATTATTTGTTCAAAAGGGTTGTCCATATAAAAGAAGTTAGGATAAATTGCTCCAAATAATGATAAAAAATTTGATTTTAAAAAAATAATCCAACCGAAGAGATTGTCTGTTCAAAAGCAAAGCCCATTAGAAAAGTTTTTTAACTGTAAGCGGATACTTTTTCGTCTGAAGTGTTCGTATGCATGTCACATTTGTCACATTAGTCTATAGACAAATGATACAAAAATCTGAGTTTGGATAGTAAATATATATATATATATATATATACATATATACATACATGTATATAAATGTATTTATAAATATTTTTACATATATATTTATATGAATAAAATATTCAACGTTATATTCTTTTTGTATATATATATATATATTTAAACATCTAACGCAAACATATTTCATAGTCCAAGAATAAATATTGAATGATACTGTTATTATAATATTTAAAAATAAAAAATATATATAACTTCTCATGCATTTTCTTTTATAAATGGATATAATATACGTAAATAGTTTTATATTATATCAAATAATTTTATATTTATAATAATACTTTTATATTATATCTAGTAAATAAAATAGTCGCAATAAAAAACTATTATTAAACTTAAAAAATTCACATATAATTTCAAATATAATATTTTGATAATTAATAATTAAAAGTTTTATAGAATAATATATATAATATACTACATAATCATATTTTATATAATATAGTACATAATTATACGTTACATAATATATATATATATAAATAAAATTACATATATAATTAATAAGAAATATAAAATAATATAATGTATATTAAGACATATTATATAATTATATGTTATATAATATAATTATTTAATATAATATATAATATAATTATAAATTTTATAACATACGTCATATTTAATAAATACTCTAAATAATTAATTTAACACTTAATCCTTCACTCAATTGAAAGCATTTTGAATAAATAAATTAATTTTAATTCTAATTAAATAGCTTTACTATAATAATTATTAAAGTATTTTATAACATATATTGTAAAAAAATTTTTTTAAAAAATATTAGTAAGTATTTATAAACTTCCTTTAATATTTTAATAACTATTTAAAAAATAAAATTATTTTTGTTTCAAATAAGAAAAATTAAATCCTACAAAATCTTACAATTGACAAGAAATATTGCATTTTTAATAAAATTAAAAATAAAATTTTGTGTTAATAAAACAAGCGATTTGTTTTTAATTAAAATAATATTATTAAATAATCTCCAATTCAAACTGAAATAATTTTTTAAAATTGAAGATCAAAAATAAATTTCTTAAATGAAATTACGTGGACAAAAAGTAAGTGATTATTTTTAATATAATATTTAATCCTTATAAAAAGACATTCTATATTAAATTAAGAGTTTTGTTGATTATTTTATAAATAAAATATATTTTACATATATACATATATGTTATATTCTATTTAATCATAAATTTTATGCCTCTTATAAGTATGAAAAGCGGTCAGCTACTTTTTGTCCACAGGCAATAATGGTATTAAAATTATAACATTTATAGGAGAATTTTTAGGAGAATTTTTTAAAAAATTATATTTTAATATTATATTAAAAAATAATATTTAATTTTATATACATTTTAAAAATAATAAACACTTATTCAATAATAATTAAAAATAAATATATTTATTGAAAAAGAGGAAGAAAAATGCTAAAATAAAGACAACGTACGTAGGTAATTTTATCATACAATATCGCTGGGGAGAGCGTTTCATATATTTGAAGAGTTGGAAATAAAAATAGATGATTTAAGTTGAATAGCTTGTGTATTTTAAAAATCATTAAAAGTGTAAGGATCAAGTAAGTTATAGAGGATGTATAATCGCAAGACATGTATTGAGTGGACGCATACAGAACGAAAATGATATGTGGTATATAAATTGGCAAAACGAGCAAACTCACCGTCATAATCGTACTGCGCTGCCTGTGGCATTAGGTGACTCTGGATCTCCTCTTCGGAGCTGCTGAAGGAACGTTGAGGCTGTGTTGTGTACTGTGTGCCAGTGAGTGTGCGTCGTTGATTGTAGGTTTGTGAGTCCATAGCGTGACCACCGCTTATAGTTAAGTTACGTGTTATAGGCGGGGGTTTTTGATAGGTCTGTTGCGCTGAGCCACCAGGTGGCGTTGGCAGTTGTGCTCCGTGAAGTGCTGCATTTTGGCTGGGATTGTAGGAATGTTGATGTGAAAGCCTTTGTTGATGATGTGCCGTATTCATATGTTGCTGCTGTTGCTGCGAAGTAGTTTGTTGCAAATGTTGCTGCGATTGTTGCATTTGTTGATGATGCTGTTGTGGATGTTGTTGATTTGTGGTATGCATTCGCTGTGCTTGTATGGGATGTTGCGATTGTTGATGCTGTTGTTGCCCAAAATGTGACTGCTGTTGTTGCGTTTGTTGCTGATGATGCTGTTGATACTGTTGTTGTTGCTGTTGATGTTGCATTGGTTGCTGTTGTTGTTGCTGTCGTTGATGTTGCACTTGACTTGGATGTGCTAAATGTGGATGTTGACGCATCAAACCATCGATTTCACCCTATTTTTTCATAAGTATATACAAATGATTTGAATTATATTAAATAAATTGATAACGTCATCTCTTATTTACCCCCCGCACCTGATATAATCTTGGATCTTCGTCAGCGTAATTACCACCCATACGTTGTTGTTGTTGATGCTGTGTATGTTGTTGTTGCATACCATGTCCACTGTATTGATGTTGCTGCTGCATTTGCTGTGGGTTCATAGGCTGCATACGCTGCCGTTGGTTAGGACTTATCATATCCACCCCACTGTCCGTGCCAGACATACGTCTATTCGTTGTTTGCTCCTGCTGTGAGTATTGACGGCGTAACACACTTCCAGTTCTTTGCATTGGCAAATTTTCTTTTTCGGCTGCACTACGTGTGCGTTCTAGTTTTGGTCGCTTATCTGTAGTATCGTGTGGATCTACAATTGCTTGTTGGGAGATATCCTAAGAAGGAACGAAAGCAATTTTTTTATTGTGTTTAGATCGTGTTACATTATGACGACATGGAAGTACTTTAGTTATGAAATTTATTAAATACAGTACTTCCTAAAAAGCGTAAATAAATTAAGCTCAAGATTTTGTTCACGTTTAAAAAGTTAGTTTTAGAAGTTTATGGCACAATGATAAAATTAATATTAATACTGAGTTAACATATTACTGAGAACATATTATTTTATTTAGTCGAAGTATGGTAAATAATATCTTTTGTTTTTAGAAAAGAATTTATATTCAATTTATTTTTTTAAGTATTTTATAGAAATACTTACACTACTGCCATCCGGTTCGATGCGTCTTATGAAACCATCTTGTTGCACAGCTGCTTTGTTAATCCATTGCCCAGTTTTGGATAATAACTCCTGTTTTTTACGACAAAGTATGCAAACCCATATCACCTGTAAAGAAGTAAAAATAAATCAAATATAAATGAGATTGAAGTCAATTTTTTTTATCTGATTTTTTAACAAATGAAGTAACAGTTCCAATATTTAACTAAGTAGTTCAATTAAGTAGGGCTTTATATGTGACTCAAAGGATTCACCTTAATTAGGGAACTAAGCCATTTATCTTGGTTAGATTATTAAGGTGATCTAAAGGATCCATATTAGTTAGGTTATAGAAGCAATCCATGGGATTCATGTTGGTTGGACTGTTAAGGTGATCCAAAGCATTTATGTTAGGCTATTAAGGCGATCTAAGAGATTCATATTATTTAGGTTATGGACGTGATCGTAAGGATTCACTTAGATTGGTTCGCAAGTTGCTATAGAATACTCAAAATATTTACATAAAATCATTTTTAAAGTTTAATTATTAAGATTATTATAAGAGGTATTACCTTAGATATGTGTCAGATCATCTAGAAAAGAAATCTTTAGCATATTTAATAAAAACAAACATATGCGTTGGATATTGACAAAACAGCTGGAAAAAGCTTTCTTCTGCTTTAGGATTGGTACAAACGTCATTAAAGGGAACATTCTATCTCATGACATATTTGTTGAACCGTCGGTGATCCATCAAAGTAACCGAAGTACATTGAAGTAACATTCTTATGTAAAATCTCAATAAAATAGCAATTTATTTCTTCTACTTAAGAGGAATCGAATTGATTGTTTTATTGTTGCAAAATAAATCATTGAACTTTTATAATATGTATTTAATTATTTTGTAAAGTAACTCTTGAATGGTCTGACAATATCTTTTCCGATGTTTTGAAAATTAAATCGTGGGTTTAATTTCATATTTATAAAATAAATTATTTATCCTATAAAAACATTAAAATATTTCGTAGAATAAAATAGATAATTTATATAATCTATGTATGAAATACATTCTATTCCCCTCTTGACGAATTCTTGAGCATGTTACTGATACTATAGACTAACCGATGTTACTCACATATTTTCTTATTTACATATTACTTATATTTTTATGTATAGATTTACTAATACATTTACTTTTATGTAGATGTGGTCATATAAGTACTCTATTTTATCTTGGTGAGAACGTTGATATTAATATCTGAGTATAATGCTCTTAAAAGGAGATTTACTTACAAATTATTAATAAAGAATAAACAGTTCTCTTATTTTAACTCGGCACGTGACACTTGTTGGAAAAAGCAACATTTTGCAATGATTATGTTAACTTATACAGCTGTGGTTTATGCATTCGTTCTAATTAATAGCATAGCAAGTGCATTAGTTGTTCATTGTTCATGAATAACAATTTGAATGTGTGTTAATACATAGGAGTTTGGTTAAAAGTTCAAAGTGACAGGGTTTAATTCTAACAGTTGCAGTCTATAAACTATTTTAAGGCAATTAAACTAAAAGCTTTTTCTGGACAATGTCTGATGGGCACGTTGTAAGAATTTGTATTATATTCAATGACTGCTGCAGAACACTAAAGTTTCTATATTTCTATTTACTGTTTAATATAAAATAAAAAACAAATATTCTGATCAAGAGTCTTACTGATATTATGTAGTCGGATTCAATTCTTTGAGACCCGACTACAAACCACTTAGGAATTTTTATGTATTCTTATGTGGTTTATAATCGGGCCGAAAGTTGGAGTTTTTTGGTCATATTCTGAGGCATCCGGAAAAGTATGGACTACTAAAATTAATCATTGAAGGCAGAATTGAAGGTAGACGTGGCCCTGGGAGACGAAAGATATCATGGCTGAAGAATTTACGTCAATGGTACAAGATCAGTTTTTCGAGAAGCTGCAGATAAAATCAAAATAGCAATCATGTTAGCTAACGTTCGAAGCGGATAAGGCACCTAGAAGAAGAAGAAGTCGGGAATTAAAGAATTGAACCCCACTACTCCAGATACCGACGTACCTATCATGTTATAAAGATATACATTAATTGAAATATCCTGCTATATTTATTCTTTAAATTAATTTAAATAATTTAATTCAAATTTATGTATTAAATAGCATTAAATAATAATAAAACGTGATCATTTTAAATAATAATAAGAGATCATAAATATATATGTTAATAATAAACAAATAATAATAAATAAATAATAGTAAATAAATATTAATACCATAAATAAGTAATAATAAATAAATAATAGTAAACAAATAATAATAAATAAATAACAACAAATAAATAATAATAAATAAATAATAATAAATAAATAATAGTAAATAAATTATAATAAATAAATAATAGTAAACAAATAATAATAAATAAATAACAACAAATAAATAATAATAAATAAATAATAATAAATCAATAATAATAAATAAATAATAGTAAATAAGTAATAAAAAATAAATAATAATAAATAAGTAATAATAAATAAATAATAGTAAATAAGTAATAATAAATAAATAAATAATAATAAAGACATAATAATAAATATATAATAAATAAACAAATTTGAAGTCTCTTAAAATTGAATTTTGAATTTTACTGCTCTCAATATTTTATATACGTGTGACGCAAATATCTCAAGTCTTGCTAAAAAAGGTCCTTATAAGTTATAAGTCCCCACAGACAATTTAATTGTATAGCCGCCCATAGTTTTATTTTTGGCTCATTGACCTAATTTAGGCGTCCAAAGCATTTATAATTTTCATATTATCTTATTATTTTGAAATATTTTTAGACAAATATATTTTCTTTGTCCGTATATTAAAATAAATAAATTTCAATATTCTTTATCTGAGGTTTTAGTTATGGTGAAAAAGACGTCAATGCCTGAAGCTTCTCGAGGGCCTGGTGCCTGGTAACAGAGAAATGGTGTCACACTTCGCCGCAACTTCTGAGCAGACAAAAGGACACTTCCACTTACAATTACATACATTTGGCACATATTTATTTACAATAAATAAGTACGAGTATGTGAGTATGTGTAAAGCAAGTGTGTCGAAGAAAAATATCTTAAGAAATGCTTAAGTAAAGCATTTCATTTTTTATGTTTTTATATAGGAAATGTTTGCTTTTATGCAAGTTGCTTTGAAAAATAGCGTCAGAACGCAAATAATGAGTGCCTTTATAGTTTTTGTCGCATGTGGTACCAAGCGGCATTCGGCAATTGTCCTTCATACGCTCCGCAACAATGATAAATGCGTTTTCTGCCAAAATCGACTTAAGTTCCAGTAAGCAATGGCTTTTGGCTTTAGCGGCTAACAATGCGCAGATGAGTGATAGAATATCTCAACTTACAATTTTTCAAACTCGAACTTTCGCATGGATTCAGAGTCTGTGTATGGAATGATGGCCTGGTCTCCAGCATGTTTGGCGACAAAATCTCATTCTTTGTATCCTTGCTTTTATTTATTTGATGATTTTTTGCTTATGTGTTTTCTCTGTATGTGACGCTGTGATATTTTCGCAAAATAATGATAAATGTTATTCAGTTTAGTTAGTTCACTCTTTCAAACGTTTTAGCATAAAATATGATTATTTCAAAGGTTACTTTAAATTCTCTATTAAACATTTAAGGAATAGTTTATATCTACAAAAATTAAATAGATTGAATTCGGAGAGAATTATTAAAACGTTTTAGCCACTAAGGGTCAAAAATGATTTCTCTGTTTTTTTTTGAGGTTTTCGATTAATTTAAGGCAACTGCATTCAAATCTGCAACACGTTTTAGTCCTATGGATCCTTAGTAGTAACGGAAATTAAAAAAAATATTTTTAAAGGATTAATAATAATGCTTTATTTTAAACGATTGGAGTTTCGTGTCTTTAGCAATTTTACGATAAATATGCTTCCCTACATTTTACCGCAATCTCTTTTAAAAGCAGGGATGTTTCAAATATTTCTTAAAATTGTTTTCTCTAAGAGGTTGAAATTTGGGTAAAAATACTTTGGGTAAATAAATGTTTGTGAAAGACACGTACTTCATATATTTTAATATGAAAAATTTCAAAACCTTAATATTTGAAATAATTGCACTCATAGATCCAGATAGCTAATAAAACAACTAGTACATACCTAAAGCTATTGAAAAATGCAAAACGAGATAATGTTATTGTGCAATATTGAAAATTATTATTTATATTCTTGAAGCCTTGTGCGCCGTCGTATCACTCCGCACTGTCTCTATTCAGGGCATAGGTTATCTACAAGTAATTTCCTTTGTCTTCTTTGCAACGCGATATCTCGTAGATCACTGATACTGCTGTAATTGTTTCTGTTGGAAACAATCTTAATTTCGTTCAGTGTTGCACTTCATCTTGTGCCTTGTGGATTATGTCAAATGAGCACTATTGGACATTTGTAATGTCATTTGTAGATTTAAGTAGTGTGTGTCCAATCCAGCTAAATTAGCGTCTTCGAATATCGATGTTACTGTCAGCAAAACCTGTTCTTCACCATAGCTTCTCGTTAGAAATGTGGTTTGGCTAGAAAATTCTGAGAATTTTACAAAGACATCGATTTACAAAGCTGCGTAATTTTGTTGCACTTGTTCTGAGACGAACCACCTTTTGCATACACACAAAAGCACTGACAAAACCCAGGACATGAATATCGTGACTTTAGTTCTAATACTGTAAAAATTTAATGACCATATTTTATTCAGTTTACTGAATACGTCGATTCCTGTCTTTATTCTTACCGCTATATCCTTCAGTGTACGTCTTCAACACGTTTTTAGTTGTTGTGGTATTTATAATTAGTCCAACCTTGGAAGATTCAAGATCAAAATCGTTAAGTTTTCTTTGCAGGTTGGCATGTCAGTGGGCTAATTCTCATTTGTCATCTGCAAAGTCCAATGATTCAAGACTGAATGTTTGGTTTAACGGGTTTTCTATCTTTTAATATCTTTTAAAAATAATCTCAATCATGGTAAACATTCCCGTGTAACCTGACCGTCATATAAAAAGAAGGAAAATCTAGGGAACTCATTGAAATGAACCACGTGAAAGCTGCAAGGCTTACTGCAGTTCATTTTGGTCATTGGTTTAGAGGAACCGGTGCAGAGTAACTGCACAATTCTTTGAATACTCACTGTAAAAGTAAAGAGAACTTATAGAAAAAAGAAACTATTAGAATTTTTTTTTGTGAATATACAGTTTTAGCCTCCAGAATAAACAGATTTTTAGGGAAGTACTTTTTGACAGTTTGTAAGACTGCTCACCGATAAAAACGAGCTCTTAGTGTTACTTACGAAGAATATGGTAGTAAAATAGCGAAAACCGTTAGTTATGATCAGCAGAAAGATAACTGCTGACCTTCCACTGCAACCAGAATATCAACCAGCTAACCATACTAAACATTAGCAGTAGAACTTTAGTATGTATTTTTGGATCCGCACTTTTAATTATACTTGTAGTTTACTTAAATGATAATAATCTGAATATCTTGTTAAATAAGTTTGCACAGCGCCATCTATTCGTTAATAGTAAACACTTCTGTCAATTAGAAGCCTTTCAAAACTTATCTGCTAGTGTATTTTTAAGCAATGTATGTATGAAACTTTTAAAAAATATATCAATATATATTTTATATACAATAATAAATAACAAAATGATAAGATATAACTTTTTAATGATCTTTCACTTAATATTATTTAATTTCTGTTAATTTAGAATAAAAATAGAAGTGGAGCAAATATTTCCATTTATTAACACCTATTTAAAGTATATTCTCATGTCCTCTATGTTCTTCAATGAATAAAGCTTCATACCGTGAAACTGTCAACACGTCAACATGTCAAGTAGTTGATACATAGTAGTACATGTCAGTGACAAATATTGGCCCATCTCAAACTACTTTTCTGTCAGCACATATAAGGTAACCTAATTCCACACATCACCAGCACAATTTAGATATTTTCCCGAAGTACTTAAGTTCGTTTAGAAAGTTTTCACTTCAAAAAAAAAACAGAAAAAGAAGAAATCAATTTGACTTACTTTATTGCTGCGAAGCGTCACTTTTCCGCCACACCGCGCACAGCACCGAATATTGCAATAATGACAAATGTGCCCAACTCCATCGGCGAATTTAGTCTTAAGGCATATGTGGCAGGTCGCATCAAGCTCAACGCCGGCTTTCTTCTGCTGTTCGGAACGCTGACGTATTTGCATTTCCAATGTGACAACTTCATCTTGCTTTCGCCTGAAATAGCACAAAAATGTTATTTAAATTAGAAATAATAATAAAACAAAATGATAAATTCTCATTTAAAAGAGAATTTTATATGAATTTGGAGTTCTAAAATAAATCTCCGGCGGGCTGCGAAATTGTCAAATTGCGTGATATTTATTTATCTAATTTATTATTTATAATTGAATTGTGATTTTTTTAATACAGAAAATTGAAAATAATATAAAGCAATTAGCATTGCTAATTCGCTATTACTATTACTACTACTATAGAATGGAACTAAGAGAAGGTAAATATATAAACGTAAACTCATAAGACTATATCGATAAATACCAAGTTAATCGATATACTAAAAACCAAAAACTTAAAGGAGTTTCCTTATTTATTACCAAATTTTAATGGTTTCCTGTAATTTCTACTAGAGATATATAGTATGGGTACAGTTCTTGTATATTTTTATACAAGACTATGTACCTGAACCATTTCTGATTTAAAAAAATGTTTTCAAATGAAAGAATGTCAGTATCTGTCAAACAGTCTAAGAGAGCCTTGAGATTTTACGACTAGATATATTGTCCTTAGAGATGTGACATGATCTCTTAGATTATATGCTACCGATGCACTAACATGTTGTTTATAGAATAGTGTCACGAATGCACTGTATTTGTTCAAACACCAAGAAAATTTGAATATCATCGTCAATGGTACCCAGAATAATGCCATAAAAACGATTTGATTGGACAACTAAGGTGTGTTTTACTGCAACTAGAGTATTTTTGTGAAATTATTTGAAATCTTTGCTATATGTGGACGAAACATTGGAAAAAATCTTTTGAAAATCAAAGCTCAAGGACACAGTTTCAGAAATGTTTACGTTACGTCTAATTGAGATGCAGTTTTCATACTTAAGATGTGGTATTAATTATCTATGCAATAAAAAAATAGTCATTTGCTCAAATTATCTCTTTTTAATTTGTTTTGATTTAAAATCCTAGAGCTCTTTAGAAAAAACATCTTATAGATCGTTTTTTTTTGACAATCGTATTTTGCTCAAAGTCGCAAGAATTCGGAGCAAATTTTTGGTGCTATTAATATATCTGGCTTAATACCCGATTATTCAAATATTGACCTGCATGCAATAACACATAGAAGCGTAGTCATTGCACATGAAGAATACGATAAAGATCGATACGTAATAAAAAGTTATATATTCCCACTCTACATTTACTGTATTTAGACTCACTAACAAACAATTTTTGAATTATAGAGCTTATGCCATATATACAATAGAGTTTTGCTAATCTAAAAACATTAATATTGGAGTCAAATCAGACTAATGACACATTTGGAATTGAAAAGTCATATTTAAAATCCAAGAACAGTCTTGCATATTTTTATACATTTATCTTATTAATAGATCAGATAATATATTCTGTCAGGAAGATATGTTGGCTTCAAAGTATACTTCTTTAAAATCATCTGAATAACTTATTATCAGAATTTAACGTTGTTCATTACAAATGGTCTCAAACACAATTGAGTAAAAGTGTTTAAGACACTAGCCCGTGTTTAATCAATCAAAGAAGGTTTAACAATAAAATTGAATAAGAACTGAACATAAATCCACTTTTTATTAAGTTAATTCATATTTTAAATGACACGTTCACAGGATGAATGTATAAGCTAATAGTGAACAAAGTTTCTAAGCAAATAAAATATACACATATGTATGGAGATAATCCATATATATAATTTAGACTACCGGGCAGAGATGTTTATAACACGTAATCTGGATTAGTGCATTATCTGTCGATCTGGACTATAGGTAACATATTACGGACATGTTGTATATATCGCATTTTCAAATTTTGTTCAAAATAATTATATATATATATTGTATATTGTATATATAGAACTATATATCATATATTGTTTAAAGTACTATCCATACATACCGCATAATCTCATTCTGCTTCTCTTCCTCTTGCTTCTGTCGCATGAGCACATTTTCGATTTGCATACGTTCGTGCGGAGTTAGATGAGATAAATCGGGCATTTCATCCATTTTGGCAAATTCTTATTTCTCTTTATTATTTTTTATATATTTTTATATATATATGATTAGATTTAATTAATGTATAATTAAGTTTTTATTAAATTGTGTTTGCGTAGTTTTTAAAAACAAAAATATATTAATTTTGTTTTCATACAAAATACGTTTATTTTTAGTTCGTTATTAATATTAGGCTTCGGAGAATTTTAGAATTTTTTATAAGAAAAATTTTCGTTGATGTGTTTTAGTCAATTTTTTTTTTTTGTTAGAAATATATTAAATTTTAAATAAACTGCGCTTTTATATATATATAAATTTTCTTCATGTATAATGTATAATTTTGCGAGAGTTGCTATTTTTGTTTTTTTTTTTGTTTTTAAATTCAAAAAAATTTTTTTTGTGTTAAACTGAATTTAAATTTAAAAATGTGTGTTGTCCTTAATTTACATATATATTTTTTTTTTATAATTTTAAATATATATAAGTAGTAATATTAGTTATTACTTAAAGCTTTGCAGTGTTTACGTAGTTTGCAATATATTTTCCGAATCTACTACTAATTTATTTACATCAGTTAGTGTTGCCTTTATCGTGCGTTTGTATTTATCCATTTTGCATAAATCACAGTCCAATACGCTTTGTATTTTTTCTCTTTATTTCTAATATAAATAAATACTTTTATTTTAATTCTGTTTGTTGACTAATTTGTATATGTATAATTTATGCTATTAACTTGTCAGTGTATTCAGTTTAGTAATTTTTGGAACGTTTTTGTAGCTGCTACTTTTTCTACTACTATTTTTAATTTTGTTACTACGTTGATTTTTAATGAAATTCGTTGAGTTTTTAACTGTTTTAATTAATTTGGCGAAATTCCACAACATTGTAGGCAAAATCAGAGCTATTGCCCTGCTCTTATTATTTTATTTAATATATATATATATATTTATATATATATCATATATTTGTATTTAATTTTTCCTTTTTTGTTGTATGTTTTGAAACTATGTAATTATTTTTTTTTTTTGTTAATATTTTTTTGTGCAATTTAATTTCGAGTTGTGTTTTTTTGTTGGTTTGTTAAGTGTCAGTGTTTCTGTGTCTATGTAAGTCAAAGCAATTATATTACATTTTTTACTAAGTTTCAGTTGCAGTTTTTGTTATTATGTTTTTGTTGTTGTTGGTTTGTACATGCATCGTCGTTGAAAGTATGCCCCTGCTTTTCTGTTTGCTGCTCCATTTACCCGCAAACTTCAACTATGTCTGTGGTATGGTTCATTTCCGGTTAAATGGTAGTCGTAAACGGTAAACGGTGCTGCAAGAAAGGAAAAATATATTTTTATTAAAAGTTCATCAAAGGATGTTCATATAATAAATGAATTATGTAAGCAAAATTCGCGTTAATCGATATAATTTATGAGCGAGTAACCGAATGCATACTCCGTCCCTCCTTCGAGTTCAAGCAACTTTGCGCTAATAAATTATGCATTCATAATAAAAAGGATATAAAACTTCTTTTGTGCCAGAAGGAGCAAAAGTAAACATACTCGACTGCAACTTAAATTGCACTTCAATATTTTATTAACTGACAATTTGCGGTTGATACTATAAAGGATGAATGTTTTAAGAAAAATAATAAAAATCAATAAATCCTTAAAAATTTTTTGTGAACAGGGTCGCATAGAAAAACACATAGTAGATTAATGAAATAGAGGGTCAACTTAGAATATTAAAATATGTGACATACACATTAGTGAGAATGAAATCTAAAAGTTTTTCTATATGGATAGATAATTGTTCTTCATTCATATTTTTTTATAAAATTTCACTTCACATAGTTCTATGTTCAATATTCGAAAGCCCTTAGCATCCCTATCTATAACCGTAGCACTCGCGACCCTGGTGGCATAATCCACTACCAGTACAACTACCACGCTTAAACTTGCCTCCTTAATCTACCCCCCAATCTACCTGCACCACGCTCTAGCTTTCTGGCTTAGATAAACTAAGATACTCATTAGATACTGGAATGATGTTTCTACAAAGCGATCGATATCTTTCACTAGTCAAACACTTCGCTTAAGTAATAACCCTGTCCACTTAACCTACCCCCCTATCTACCTGCGCCACACTCTATCTTTCTGGCTGAGATAAACTTAGTCCACCAGGTATTAATCCTCTCGATCATATCTCTCCCCTACTAGAACAACGTTTTCACAATACGATGGATATCCTTTGCACTCATTCCTAAGAGGTGGTTTTATAGGGTTGAAGTCTTACACTTTGAAAACACATATAGATGAAAACTCAGAATGAGATTTTGAGATTAACATTGTCACATTGAATTTTATATACAATATAATACACTTAATAAATCTCCAGTTTAGTTAAGAAAAACAAACGCTACTCTAACTTTTCGATGTTATTTTTCGAAAACAATTTGTCTTAACTTTCAATATATATAAACCTCAGTTTTGATAATTACATTTACACTTGAACCAAATTTCTTTTTCTAATACAGAATCCACACGAGAGTGACTCCAGTATAAAGCATCTTTTGGATGTCTACAAAAAGTCAGTCATCATTGGTGCCAGATCAGGAGAGTATGTTGGATAGGGAAGAAATTCGAAGTGTGATTCTCACAATTTAATCATCGCTTTTATCGACTTTTGAGTTATTGGGCTCAAACAAATATAGCATTTATAGAAAAGAATTGGATTTACCAATTCGGTACAAAGCTGCTAAGACACTACCTGATGATATTGTCTTACGGAATAATGCTTTTGGATCTTTTATAACTGTTTTTTGGACTTTTATGTTTTTAAGAACAAATCTTACATTTGGTTGACCAAAGCCTTCTACATCAACAAGGTCTTTCCAATTGACTTTTAAGTCCAACTGGTATCAATAATAATTGACTAGTATACCAAAAAGGGATTACCTCGTGCACAGCCTTAATAATGCCTATTAACTTACTGTTTGGTCTTAACAGTAATTTGTTCTATAAAAAAAAAGTTTATCAATACACGATATTTTTTTGTCCATTGTTTTCTTAAAAAAAAAACTGGAGCCACCAAAATTACAATCTCTATAAACTAAATATTAGAATAGCATAAGATTTAAACATATGTCGTTTGAATAATGCTACCAAAGAAGATAAAGAAAAGAAACTGAGAGTTACTCGAAAAATTGTGTATAAAACTTTTTGAATAATTCAAATAATATTTAAAATTTGAGTAATGAGGTGAAAATATCACGCAGTATAAAAACAAAAAGCCTAATGCTACATAATGGTGCGTGATGATTTTCCCCACCAGGTTTTGCTATTTTGCCCACCCGGTCCCTATTCACCACAATGTTAGCTAAAATAAGAGCACTTTCCGAGAAATTTCATTGTTTGTTTAGATTTTTTTACGTTAAAGATCCGTTAAGATTTTTTTTGTGATATAACACAAAAAGGCACAATTCAAAATGTTCTCTGTTTCTTTTCTCTATCTTCTTTGATGTTACTCTACACAAATGTTATGAGTTTATCAACAGCGTTGCCAATTATTTGTCAAATCGTAGACTTATAGAATGATGTGGGAATATAATGTTGCATAGACTTGAACATATCACTCTGACTTTCATTTATTTTAAAAGAAATGGAACATTTCTACCACGTTTAAACAATTTTGAATACTTAGTAACTCTACAAGTAAAATTACCATAAGTTTAACGATTAACATATAAATACTTGAATTATTAAAACTTTTAAATATAAATCTTATAAAGTCTTTTCGACTCAATTATGGAAAAAAAAACATATTCTTGTAAATATAAAAGATATTTTAATATAAATATAAGTAGATAGACAAAAAAGATAGTCAATTAGAACATATATAATGTCACAGATCTCTAAAACAGCGTTTATCTGAATAAATATAGAAAATGTGCATTCTTTCTTTTTTTTTTCTTATGAAGTCTTCTCTTGCATGTTTGTCTAATAAGTCGGAAACACCTTTTATACTTTTTATACCATGTAGTGGACATCATACGTACATCATACTTTTTCCGATTCTCTCGAATATCAACATTTGTGTTCAGTATTGCTTCGAAAATATCACAGAAAATTTTTACGAATGCCAAAACTGATCGAATCGGCAGTCATTAATTTTTGATGAGTGCACTCATTGATTCATACTACTCGAGTTTATACTTGGTTTTTACGAGTGTACTCTGAGTGTTACAATTATGACTCGTCGCAGTTCTCTGGTACTCGTAAATAAAAATGCCGAATGAATCAGCAATATTTTGTTTTGTCTTGTTTCATTTTTATTTTCCTTCGTTTTGTGTCAATTTATGCAAATTATTCACAAATTGATAATCCATAAATTATCATTTATCATGGTTCCCACATATTGGTACTTTTTTCCGTACGGTACTCTGGTACTCGTAATATCAAATTAAATTTATTTATAGATGCAACTGTACGCTATGAAACTAATAAAATTTTATGTATTGATATAGTAGGAATATTGGAGCAACAAAAAGTAAAAGATAATTTCGATCGGAATGAATTTTAAGACCATATATATATAATAATAATATATATATTTGGACTTGAAAACATAAATGTGGAGAATTGATTAAAGTGTGCTATCTAGTAAAAAGTCTTAATAACATATGCTTCATTTCAAATATTTTGAATAAAACTTCAATACAAAAAAAAAAAAAATTGTGCTATTTTGAATAGGTATCAGAATCACGTCAGTTGTTTGAAAGTATATAATTTTTATCTGGTTGTGCAATTCCTAGAATTAAAAGCAATACATAGCAATGGATAGAGTATTATATATGTTTCTATTTCTTTTTATATATTTACACATTTACTTTTAGAAAATGAAGGAAATAGTAAAAACCGCGGACGCCGTTACCAAAGAGTTCGTCTTAGTATATTATAATAACATGGACAATAACCGTGACGTAAGTAACACACCATGCTCTTATGATCATTATGTCACCGTTGGTTAAAAAACTTCCTTAATTTCTCTGGAACGCAAATAACAGTTAAGCCATATTTTGTTTTTTATCTGTTTACAGAAAATCGGTGACATGTTTGCCCGGGACTCTATGTATGTGTTTGATGGAAACAGGACAACTGGACTGGCATCCATCCAAAAGTATATTTTTGACTTGCCAACAACTTCTCATGTCATATGCAATATCAATCCCCAGCCGGTTTTTGGTCCAAATGATGAAGTTTCGACTATTATTGTAAATACTGCCGGTTATGTGAAGCATGATGGAAAAAAGCCGAAGGATTTTACTGAGTCATTTGTGTTATCTTATGTTGATGATCAGTGGAAAATACGTTCCAGTGTAGTCCGTTTATTGCAATAGACAGCAGAGCAGTGTATTAAATTCTTGCCGCATTGTTGCTTAAACGCGTTACAATAATAAAAAAATTTTATGGAATAATTACTAATTAAAGTAATTGAACCTTGACTTTTATTTTGAAAACATTTTCGAAATTTTTGCAAAGAATTTAGTCATTAGTAGAAATCTTATATATTCATATTTACATTTAAAATGTACTATTGTTAGGTAATGGACTAAACCTATTGTAAGTCCATTGGACTGTTGATTGGTAATGTACTAAATCTATTATAAGTATATTGGACTATTGATTGATATTGGACTATATATGTATGTAGTAAGTCTATTGATTGGTAATGGACTATTAATTAGCGTTGAACTATTTCTGTAGTAAGTCTATTGGACTATTGATTGGTAATGGACGTTATCTATTGTAAGTCTATTGTACTATTAATTGGTACTAGATTATCTCTATTGAAGTCTCAATAAACACAATCAATGATATGAGTATGACTCAAGTATTGACTGCTCATTGCAGTTCTCTTGTGCTGGGCGCTCACTTTTCCTGGTGGATTCTGGTCAGTTCGTAGGCATGCCACTTCTTGCCGCAAAAAAACAAAAATAAAATAAAATATAAAAAATGTCTGTTAAATGGTAAAATTTATGACATGAAGAATCTAAATCGGCAACGGCGTAAATTCGTAAATGCATTGTTGAACACTGGTGATTTTATGAGAAAATCATCTTAATTTAAGGTAAATATAGATTAATTTTATTAATTTACTTTATTTTATTTTATAATTTAACATTTACTTTAAGTAAAGTACATAGTACTTAAAGATTGTGAAGGAATTAATCTGAAGTTTTTATGATCAAAAGCTATTGTTTTGTAATTTTCCAAAAAATTAAAGTGCCTTTATATATAAACACTTTGACTGTAGTGTGTGAAGAGTGGAGAAAAAAAGCATATATGATTTATTAGACTTTAGAGCAAATAGACTCTTATTCATACCAAAGCAATTCCCAAACGTAATAACAGGAACTGCGATGTATTCTTGTTCACATCAATTTTTGCCACACTGTGCAGCTTAATTGCCCTGTAGCCACTCCAACGGGAAAGCACGCTACTTGCACTTTAGTGCACATAAGTGCTATATTGCAGCACGGAAAATAGGCCGTTGTCCTCTTAAATGCATTTTAGTGTTAGCTTAACTAACTTTTCTTTTGGATGTAGTACGTTGTGTTTCTATATGACCTCAAACGGCGCTGATGGAAGCAACACCAGAAATAGCTGTTGCAGCAGATAGAAGCACTTAACGGACGGGACGGGACGGGATGGGAAGACTAGCAGTTGTGTTTTATGGGTGCTTTAGCGCATTTGTGCGGTTCACTGCGATGCACTGCAAGTGAAGGCATAAAATATGCAAGATGCAGCCTGAAATGCTGTTGCGAAATTCATGACGATACGATGTCAATGCAGTTTTGACTCCACACAAAAACAGTTTTTTGACAGCATATTGCAGTGTTTGTTTCTATATGATTAACCCAAATAAATAATGGAAAATATCTACACATATGTAAGTGTTTGTGTTTATACACAGAAGTAAATTTATTTATTTCGTTTACCACAAACTTTGTTGCCATAAAATCGCTTTCAGCTGCCATTTCTTGTTTTTTTTTTTGCCATAAATTTGACAGCGTAAAAAAATTTAAATTTGGCTACGTCATTGTTTGGAAAGTAATTGATTTCACTGATTTAATCGAACACTTAACTTCTGTTTGTGGAATATCTTACGTGCTCTCTGCAGTTTATCTACCGAAATTATAATACAAAAAAAACTGTATTACGGAATCTATTTTAGGTACAGCTGTACTGGGGAGAAGGGCAAATGAACACATGTTTTAACGGGACTCGGTACAATTCAACCTTGTGTTCCCATACATCAGCGTTGGTTTTACAGTGTACCACCGTATGTGTATGTGCTTATGTGTAAAAAATAATATTTATTTTTTTGCCATTTATTTTTATTATTATTTATCATTAACGAAATAATTTTTTTTTTTTAATAAAAAACTTAACAAATATTTTCATGGAAATGCAGAATGTAGAAGTATTTTTATGCGAAAACAACAAAAGCTTTAAGGGCTGTTATTATTGCTCTCAATACTCTGCAATTGTCTCTCTCGCTCTTTCTCTCTCTTACACTCTCTCATCAAGAAATACGTTGGCTTTTTACCGAATTCCTCCAGAGTTGAAAAATTTCCCAATATTTTTAAATGTCAAGAGAAGTGAAGTAGAGCATTCCGGTGAGAACAAAAAATCAGCGCAACAAAAATGACTTAAACGCATTGGAATGGTTAATTGACAAAAATAGAAACAGGCACAAGGATAAATGTAGTTGAAAAGAAAACACATAAAAGTTTTATTAGAAAAGCAAAGAGAATAAGAAAAACAAATAAGTTAATGAAAAATTATATACGTTAATTTTTTTTCTTCTTCTTCGAAAACAAGTGGTTAAAAATAGATTGCTTCATATTAGTTGAGTACACATAGATTAAAATAAAATACACATGAAAGCGATATGTGAAAGGAAAGGAGTAGTGCTGAAAGGAGTAGTATTTGTTTTTATTATAATTCATCACTTATTTTAATGAAGAAAGAATTATTTAACATAGATTTAAGAGACTTCATACTTACATATATTAATATTTATATGGATATAAATTATTTAGAAATATTAAAGGAGAACAGTGTTACTGTTTAGGAAAGAGTTCTGCTTAAAGATTCCAATCTATAACCATACACCGTTTACACAATTAAAACATGATAAGTAATATATTCCAGTGATGTCAAAAGAGCTAGTGAACTAACTACAACACTTACTCGAGCCTGTTGGTCACAAGCATTTATTAAAAGTAGCAGACTTGACCATCATGGAGTCAAATTCCTTGTGTAATATAATATGTATGGCACAAAACAGAACCGTCGGATTGGTTTACCTTCACCTAATGGGAGAGTCGTTGCCTTTTGGCATTGGTCGTATACTGATCACCAGGTCTATGTACGAACTAACGCTATTCCTGTGGTATCGCAACGGGCCATTATTTGAGCTCAAGTGTGCTTACTTAGTACTCAAAGCCGCCACTCCAACCTAACCTAACCTAAAGCAAAGAATCTATAGTACAAAGAAGTGCCACGCTCATACAAACGAAATATCCACTTTATTTTGCTGGTGGATTTATAATAAATCCACCCAACCTCATGCAACAATGTTCGATCGAGTCACAACTGGTATGATGTTCAGTTCAAACTCATTGCAACCCACAATTGTTTTTATACGCCTGTTTCTTTTGCCTTTCTTGTTTTTATTTGTCTATTTAATTAATATACATTGATTAGTAGCGAAGTGAATGGTAAAGAAATCTCTGAAACAATTTTACCATATACTTTGTTGCTTTATTTTCTTGTACTGAAAAGGCTCATATCATAGGAGTAAAGAGTAATAAAATATATTTTCTTTTTATTGCAAAAAATGATGCACTACAAAAACTATTATGTATGTACAAATGTGATATTGGAGACATTAAGTCTACAGTACATAAATAGGTATGTTTTTATTGCACATTTGTGTGCATATATTTTACCTCAAATGGAACTGCTTCTTAATAGTTTGAATTTTTGGTGACTTTTTGTAATTATTTTAAAAAATATTTGCAAGATTCATATAAAAGTTTTTGAAAAGTATTTTAGAGAAACTAAAAATATTTGAAATGTAAGAAAAATTTTAATGCAAAAATGTGTAGAAGTCACTAAAACCACTATTAATGCCTCCTGGTTTGAGGAAACGCATGAATGCTATTTACACCGGATTGAAATGTTAAAATTGATGATTACGATATTGCTTTGGAAACATTGCGCATGGACAACATTTAAGAATAAAGCTTCATAGAATGAAAAAAATCAGATTTGAGACATAAATAAATTTGTAATGTGTTTTTACACTACAATTCATACCAATAGCAAACAGGTAATTTTGTTTCATATGCTATCAAATTCAAAAACTTATCAAATGTACACAATTTTGACTTCGTCACTGAAATGCTGTTTGATCGCTTGAACATTTTACAGCGAACAAACACACAAACATGCGTATAATGTAATACAGAGGGTTGCATGTATGATTGAATACGTATGCAGTCGGGCTTTTGTCAGCCTTACTTGACTCACATATAGGTTTGAACTGAACATCATACTAGTTGTGACTCGATCAAACATTGTTGCATGAGGTTGGGTGGATTTATTATAAATCCACCAGCAAAATAAAGTGGGTATTTCGTTTGTATGAGCGTGGCACTTCTTTGTACTATAGATTCTTTGCCTAAAGGTTTTTGACTTTTTCCTTTTCAGGTAGAGATCTCTTGAACATTCTATGTGTCGAAAAATATTGCAAATCCAAAAATAAGAAATAAAAACTTGCAATAGAAAGAAGTCTGGATTTATTTGTTGTTTGTTTCGACAATAAAATCTAAATAGTTGGCGAAGTACGATTTTAGAAGTTGACCAAGTATCATATAAGTCGATATCAATAATCTCAAGTAAAAGTAGCCGTCAGTTAACAATAAAGTTTGACTTAGAATTTAAAAAATGCAGCTTTGCGCTATTTTTTCCTACAGCTGATGTATGGTGATAAGATGCGGCTGGTTTTTAGAGAGCAAGTTCTTGTGAAATAGTGAAGGCAGAAACTAATATCAACAACTATATCGAAAAACCTTTTAGAAGGAATAAAATGTTTTAAAATACACTATCGAATAAAATTGTAACAAGTGTAGCGAAGAATTACTCTACAAGTACATTCCAGAGTTCAGAAGTTGCTAATCACCCCGTTAAAGTTACACTACAGAAGTTAAAAGTAATGATGTCAATTTATTTTAAGTTATTGGGGTTAAGTTATTCCTTTGAAAAGTAACTACTTAATGATATAAAGAGGAATAATGGTACAAAATAGGGAGGAGACTAATTTATGAAGTGATCTCGAAATTGTAAATTTTAAAAATTCGATTTTAAAGGCTGCTTAGAAAGTGGATC